ATTAGAAATTGTATGAGTCCGAATAACGAGAAGTTATCAAACCGTCTTAAGACAACTTTATAAAATTCGACTAAATAATTTACTCAATTTACCAAAATCTACTAATCTTACAGCTACATATTTCTATTCATTCTCTAAAACAATACAACCAGTGCTTTGTGAATTTTTATGCATTTTCAGCTTATACACTTTATACATATTTCGACCTACTAGTCACTTAAAATTAGACTATCATGGAAAACGTGAAAGCACTGAACGGCCTTTTCGTCTTATTGTGGGACTCAGTATTGCGCATCCCTGGTCCCGCCTCGCGAGATTTGAACCCAGGACCTATCGATGTTTTTTTCCTAGTTGAAAAGATTTATCACGCTCCTAATGTCATTAATGAGTTTCTGTCTGATAACCTCATTAGCAAAGAGAGATGAAATGGTCAGGTAAAATCCCAGAGTAGTAGAGATAGTAAAAGTGTGGGTGATATTAGTTGCATCCGTAAAAGATTAAATGAACGGTTGCATCTGCGAATTGTTCATGGACTTTTATATATATATTCTTTGAAGGTAACTAGATTTTATACATTTGCATTTTTTTTACCATATGTCTTCATTTGACCTATTAGGTACAATTATATGATTTACTGTTTTTGAGGTTATTCACGATCTATTAGTTATCGTCTCGCATATTCACAGCCACTTTTGGTTTGATCTGGTATAACTGTCATTTTTCGTTTCATGGTGTTATGAGGTCTAGTCTGCCTGTACACAAACTATGTGGATTATCCATGTAGTAAAGGCGAATATTGTTCTCTGGTCTCAACGGGTAGGGCTAGGTGAGAAACTACGAAATTGAGGACCAATGAGGATTCAGAGTTGACGCAAAACTGATAGTGTGGTTGAGATATCAGTGTTTAGACACGGGAACTACGTCATATAAGTCAGCATTCTGAATGGCAATTTTTTCAGTGACATAAGTCATCACAATTGAAATGGTAAAACCAATAATGCTAGCAGTGAAAATGGCACTTTCTTCGGAAAAATTGCAGTTACCATTACAGCAGCAGATGATAACTTCTCAACAGTAACTCATGGAAGCAGATTTGAAGAGACTTTCTATTCAACAATATATATATATATAGGCAAACTAAACATATGGGATGTACCAGTGAGCGAAATATACACGATAAAAAATCCAAATAGTAACCATGTAGACCTAAGCCAGTTAGTCTACACATTTTATCATGTGTTATTCCGATTGTCAGTGATTTTCTGGACTGATGTTTTGCTTTGATTTGGAACCCTAGCTTCCTTCCACTCTACTACTAAACCAGATAACACAGCTCCTCGAGGTAGGTAGTGGTTGGGCATACGTAATAAATATCCCAACCACATTAATCGATGAAGATTTACTACCTCATCAATCGATTCGCCATACTTAGTACCATTTTTCTAACTTAAGGATTACCAACTCCGTTGTCCCAAAATACATGAGCACTGCTTCGAAGAATCTCTGAAAATCGCCCATTCTTGATGACCATGTTCCACACCCATGGAGTAGAACGGACTGCTGCATAACAAACTCTTCCTTTGGTTGGTAGACTGATATCTGATATACCCCGTAAGTGACGCAAGTTGGTAAAAGCCAGTCGAGCTTTCTGAATCCGTGCGGAGATTTCATCAGACACCAGACCTTCAGGACTGATGAGAATCTTAAGAAAAGTGAGGTAGTCAGTGAGTTCAACTACTTCATTCTTTGTCATTAATTCAGGCACTGACGTAAGTCAACCCTGAAGTAACATTATAAATTTGGAGGGAGACAACTGCATCAAAATTATGCTTGCATTGTTGCTTAAGTTAATCAAGAGACTGCATTTCGTCAGCGTCTTCAACAAACAGAACTATATCATCTGAGTACTCTAAGTCAACGAGTGAATCTTTTGGTAGAAGATCAATCTTTGATGAGTCAGACGATGAAAGTGTTATCTCTCATAGCATTTCTATGATCAAGTTAAATAAAAATGGACAAAGTGAAGAACTCTAACGAACACTTGAAATAACTAATTCCGACTACAGTTTGCCATAAGCTCTTACTCGACTATTAGCATTCGAGTAGAGGGCCTGTACAAAGTTAATGTACTTCGTCGGTACGTCTTCCAGTGACGGACTGCCACATAACCTCACGAGTCGAATGGTGCCCTAAGGATAAAGAATACAACTACTGTCGGATATCGAAAGTATGTTTATGTTCCAGAGTCTTCTCTACCTCGCTTTAGGTTACTTATATCCTTTTCGATTTCGCCAATAGTTGGAGGACTTACATCATTTCGCTATTAAGGTTGCTTAGAGATAGCGGATAACTGAGATACTTCCAATAACAATCGAAATTTAATACCAGTTTCCTTGGTCAGACTGATCAGTTGTTTACTGATACTAATCATCATTGTCTTCACCATTTCTACATTCTTAACTTACCACTCCCTACGATTACTAAGTAAAATTTTTATGAGCCCATGTTTAAGCTGCATCCGCTCTTCATGTTAAGAGTCAGATGGGATGTTTCCAAGCATCTGTCAGTTCTATAGTTCACGATGAAATTCACTGATTTTTCTTAACCGTTTGGTTTAATTTACGAGTAGATGCCACTGATACTTTTACGGCTTTTCGATACCATGCTAAGTTACCTCAGGGTGAATATCATTTTCATGGTAGACTAATTCCTACAGTTGCTCCTGAAATTTATTTTTAACGTCTTCGTTATTAATTTGGGGTACAAGGGATTTCCTTGTTGTCCAGTAAGATGCAGACAAATAAATGCTCGAACTCTGGCATGATCCGAGTCTTAACATGTGCTCCAGAATGAAAAAGTCTTATACCGAGCCTCTCCGACGACCGCTGATGAAAATATGATCTTTTCAGATCATTTCTGAGTCGATTGTGGGGTTTTTTTTCTCACTAAACTGCAACACCATAAGGTCCGCCTAAACGCCTTTACGATATTTAGTTAGGAGACCAGGAATAAAATTTCATAAATCCAAAGCATTAGCATTCGTGGCGCGTGATGAAGATATACGAAAAGGGTTGGAATGAAAGAATTATTAAGAAGCAAATGGGTGACTTAGTCGTGAAAAAGATGGTCTCGGTCGCTGATAAAGGTATGAGTGATTGTCACGTCATGAAAGAATATTTTTTCTTCAAAGACCTGACACAAAGCTGAATTAGTTGTGATCACGGCGACTTGAGAGCATGACCACAGAATCTCAGGAACAGCAGCTTGAGGCCAGTTACGCATGGAAATTTTTGGACCTTTTTAACGTGCTAGGTCCACACTTCAATGAAACTTACCACCGGAGACGAAAACCCGAGGTAAGGTGAGGTGTAATATTTCTAGGGTTAGCCCTTTTCTTCCGCTGCAGATGCTGCTTGTTCGAGGTAAACACCTTACCACTGTCGAACCCCTTAACAGTCGGCAGTACAACGTTGCTCTCGAACATTAAGTTGCTCATTTTAGTCTCACCATTCTCAAACCAATCTACCTGGCATGGTAGAACCTGAAGGAGCATGTGCTACAGCCGTTATAACTAGGTTGAGTCATCACGATAAGCTAGCCTAAGCATCACGTAAAGGTAGCAACTACGGTTATTGAATTTACAGTACAGATGAATTTGAGTTCGCAAGAAGTTAAACTTAGTACTGCAATCTAATTATAGAATACTAGTTAGCACTAACATATTAGTGAAAATATAACATTGAAATCATCTCAAAACTGGTAATCCTTCGAGATATGAGGACAAAGTTTGATGAAATTCTTAATCGCAAAGTGACATTTGATATACGTCGTCACTAAAAGTTATTTTGATCAGATATTTAGTTGTATAAACTAAACTACTCTAATGTAGACATTTTTTTGTAAAAATGTCGCTGTCTAGGAAAGTGTGTGAGTACAGTCCAAGGGATGATTGGCAAATAATTACGAATCCCTAGCGATTACCTACTATGTTGTATGATGTACATAAGAATTGAACCTGAATGCACAGAAATCAATTGACAAGACTGTTGATTATTAATAACAATTATATTTGACTCTTCATAATGCTACAAATGGCAGATATATTACGAAACTGGAACTATTTTATCCGTTGCCTCAAAATTACAACTAGCGAAATCTCTAAATTGATTATTTCAAAATATATTACTAAAGTATTATAAAGCAATTTCTAGTCCAAACAACTATCGCCTTCAGTCACTGAATAACAAACACAACTCTATAGATAAAAATATTTCATTTTATTCCAAACAAGCTCGTAAAAAATAAGGTAAATGATAAAAAGAGATCAAAAAATAATATATTATCTAATTCTGTGAGTAATAGACTCATTTGTAATCAGTTGACCGGTAAGAAAATTAACGTATAATAATGTTAATTAAACCAAGTTATACATTTCAGTACAGTGAAATCGTATTTATACACGGTCAAATATGTGTATATATAATTATAAGAAATGAATTATGATGATGCTAACAATTTAAATCTCATAGGATGAAACAGTCAAACAAATAAACAAACACAATAGTTACGCAGTGCATAAATAACCGAACAATATTCAAATATATATATGAAACAACAATTGTCTGAATGTTCAATTGATTAATCAACCATTTAAACTAACCAAGTAGTCCATCGACAAGTGAGATAAAAATATACAAATTACTCATTAATTATGCAAATGTATATAAGAGAATTAAATCAACTGATAACCGTTCAATTATTTTTATTATTTTCAATAGAAAAAAAGGGATAATAATAAAGTGAGAGAAACAAATAGCCCACTATCTGAAGCTTATTGATTTTGATAACACAATTTCATTACTATTCATCGTTTAGACGAACAAATGAAAAGAAGATACACTATATATATATATATATATATATATATATATATATATATATATATATATATATATATATATATATATATATATATATATATATATATATATATATACTAATTAAGCATGAGATTTGTGCATATATGATGAATCACAATCCGTATGCACTTCAGCATGAGTTATCATTAGTGAAGGTGACTGATTATCATTGATTTCATTATTTAGTCCAGATTCAGTGTCACTTTCACTACACTGTTTACCTAATGAGAAAATACAACAAAACAGAAAGGATAAGGAGGATATTTCATGGAAATAATATAAAGTAACTTTGAAAAGCCTTATTTATTATGAAGCTAGAAATCATCAAAATGAATGTGTGATAACCTTTAATAGCTAATAGGTGTCATTACCAAGGTTTGATTTGATAACTTCGAATAAATTGAGCATTGGGTTCATTGTTATAAATAAAAATAATATATTTGTAATATCCCAATGAGTAGAAAATTGGACTTTCTGACGTTTCGTGACTTAGTGTAAGTCACTTCTTCAGAGAATAAATAACCAAATTAAAACTAATCCAAGTTTAAATAGTAGTTTAAATTGTACTATTTAAACTTGGATTAATTTTAATTTGGTTATTTATTCTCTGAAGAAGTGACTTACACTAAGTCACGAAACGTCAGAAAGTCCAATTTTCTACTCATTGGGATATTACAAATATATTATTTTTATTTATAACTTTGATAGCTAAGCTGAATTAAGGAAGCGTAGATTAGAGCAGAATTTATGATTCAAACTAATGAACTATCATTGTCAAAAAAGAATATGGATGTTATTCGTGAAGAACAATGTTTGTATGAAAATAGATTTATTGCATATACCATGAAGGCAGTAGATAGTGAAACAACACAGCGCTAAGTAGGCTATTAAGTTTATTAGTGGATAAAATACAGTTTATATTATGAAGTGATATTGTGGTGTATGCTACTTATGTCGACATTGTTATAGAGGTCTGCACACCGGCAGACTTGATATTTCAACAGGGAGCGTGGCACAGATTGCAGCAAAGGTGGCACGGCGAGCAAAGCAACCACGAAAGCGACTGTTTAAAGGGCGAATGAGTGTAGTGTACGCTACTTATATCTGTCGACATAAGTAGTATGCAACACCAATCGGAAGTGCAAAACCTAGCAGCAGAATGCTAAGGAGATCGAGTTGAGGAAAACAAAAAGGGAAATAGGAAGGAATTGTGGATTGGAAGAATCATACAGAATGTGAAGGACAACTGATATAAGATTTGCAAATGAAGCATCCTATGTATGGTTCTCATATTTTAATAAGATGCTCTGTAATTTTTATACCAAATAGTGAATTGGTTTTCCTCAGCCGAATGTCCATTCACTACAAAACCTGCTAGAGAACCAGTGAAAGCGAAGAATCTAACGGTACGAGCTAATATTGTAACTAGTTTGATAGTTCTCAGATTCAATATTGAATAAAATATTATTTCATTTATACCACACAATTACTTAATTGGGGATGATTTAATATATCTAAAGAAAACATCTGTCAGGTACTATATGATTTTTAATTGGTGCTAAATCGACTGCAGATCCAATCAAAGAAAGGTGATGAAAAAATTTCTTCAGTTATAGAACTAGATGAAGTTTAATTAATCCATAGAAAATGTGTAGCAGTGAGGAAAATAGTATGTTGATTCCAAAATACACATGGTGGTCCAATTACAAGGACAAACTAACATTATCTAGAAAGCCAATAAACAGTAAGAAACAGCGAACAGATGTCTCATATCGACAATGACTTATCTGTAGTAAGCAGACACTACCTCCCATGTGATCGAAACCAAGTTTATGAAGAACTGTTATTCAATCGTTTAGTATGTGATATCGAGTGATAATTATACAGTCTTGATACAAAATCACTTTTTTTCGGGACTGTTAACTCTCTAGGTCAGGGTCTTCCAAAGAAACATTGAGAAAATCAACTCGACGTAGATGCACACTCAAAATTAATGTAGTTTTATGAAAAAGATTTAAAATATTTTAAGTGTAATTTCTATTACAATTCACTTCGAATCGGTAAATGTTTAGAAACAAGAATTCTTATTTAGATTTTAAATCAATCCATAAGAATAATGATTAAGGATGACCGTAATTAAGAATTACAGTATTACCGAAAAGTATAAAGATCGGTTTATACAAGAATTGAATCGAATTTATTTATTTTACATTCCAGGACAATTCGTAAAACGAATGAAGAAAATGTAAGAAATACTTTCGCATAAACAACAAGACCAGTGTTTTTCACATGAATTATTCAACTAAATAAATTAACATCAAGTGATCGAGAAAAGAAAAAAAATAGAACTGTTACCATTGATTTCAAATCAATACATTGTTTAAATGTTTCACATGTTTGTGTAATGAATAAATCTTAACATATACAAGCATTGTTTTCAGTAAAATACATTAAACTGTGATATATGGAATTGTGTGTGTGTGTGTGGGTAATATAATAATGAATGATCAATTTAAAGATAAGACACTTAGATTTTTTTTAAACGACCACCTATCAGTAGTACAAACAAGTTATTAATATATGATCCATGAACAATTATTGACTCATGAAAGATGAGATATTTATGAATTTACCGAAAGATAACATTTACATTCATTGATTCTGATGTCACAACTAGCTCAAGTCAACGGGGCATCTGTCTTTTTAAACTGTGAGAATAAATTATCTTGTTTTACATACATTTTAACTAAATAATTATGTACGTACACCATGTGCTTTCATAAAAAAAAAACTTGAAACCTCTTAAAGATGCTTAGTAATTCAGAAATTCAAAAAGAAATATCACAACACTTGGTATATTTCCTTCCGTATTTGCTAATTGAGGAAGTAATAGACGTTTACTTTGAAACTTTCACATTAAATACAGTATACGATAAAAATATTTTAGGAGCATAAATATTCGACGAACTTTGCATGTGATGATTGACAACTAATCACTGTTAAAAACTTTCATAGAAACATATTCTTGAACATTACCAAGTTAAGTGGGTACAACACAACAACTTATCCCAATACTGAATATTCTATGCTGAGATTTGTATAATATGAATAAATACATGTATTGACTCAAGAGAGTATTTTACTGTTATTATCCCATGAATAATACAAGTCAAACGAACAAAATGATAAATATGTGAGATGGAGGGATTAACTTAGATTTCTTATTGATGTCCTAAGTTGTTCCTAATTACGAGGTATGAGATCAAACCCGAGATTTATTTTTTGAGATCACTGAACAAAGTTCAACCCAAAATTTTCTCTAAAAAAACAAAAAAATATTAACCTTTTACGAGGGATTCAGCAACAACCTGAGAGCATCCAGGTTGTAATTCCACGGCTGTATTAACATTATTAGTTCCATGTTCATAGTCGGATGAATTATGACCTCTGGAATAAGAACTTGATACATTTGTGAGAAAGCTTTCCAAAGTTTCACGAATTGAGGTAGTCATCTTCATTCGCCTAAGTGATGAAGCACTTGATTGTTCAGCAGAAGCATTAATGAGCGGAGTATGTTCATCTGAATGGACGTCCCCACTGTAGAAACTTAACTGAGGTGATGAAGTAGTATCTCCTGAATCAGAATCTTCTTCGAAAGACGAATCATCCAAAAGTGGAGCTTCAGATGTAGTGGCATATGAGGAAGCGCGTCTATATCTTGTAGAAGTTGAAACGTAGACTCTAGGACGATTGTGAACTTTCTTCTTACATATAGGACAAAAACCACGACGTTTTAAAAGCCAGGGATCTACACATTTACTGTGGTAAGCTTTAAAAAGAATAGGACGTTTTTAAAGTAGATGAACAGAAATTTCAAATGCTATTAATGAGTAAACTAGTAAACAAATATTAGTAACTTGGTAATGAATGAAAATCTGTTGACCAACTTTATGATTGACGAACAAAGCACTCATATTCACAACTTTACTGACGATTATACAAAAACATATAACACCATTTCCAGTGGGCAGTGATCTTTTTAATACAGGGACTATTCGCAGGAACATTTCTATCAGTAATTGAGATATCAAATGGAAGATGAGGAATCGTGTTTAGTCTAGATCTATAATACGTCAATAGTCACGCGAAAAGCTCAGTAATAACCACTTTTATTTTAGAGCTTTGACTGTTTAGATTTTATGCTTGAAGTGATGATGAAAATACTCATTGATTAGTTGGAAAACCCTGATTCCAAAACAGTGACGCACATAAGCTCCAGTATCCTGAAGGAACAAATGGCATATAAACTAATTGTTGGTCACCGGTTACTATGGGACTGCAGCTCCTCACGATGCTCCACTGCCTTGTGGGTTAGACCTTTAGGTCGAAGGCTTGGAGTGTGGCCTTCTAAGAAAACCACCTGCTTCCGTCTGGGCACACGAGCAATATCACAGCCCACACACAAATAGAACGGAATGGCGATATCTATTGAAAATACTACTCCCGCTTCGATTAACAGTTGAACAATTCACATTATTAATATTGTCTTTTACCACGTCACTTATTCACTTTCTTTTATTCCCACCATGTGTATCCTTATTTTTCAACCTATGCAGCAGCACGCCCATGGAGAAAACACTGTTCTATCTAAACGATCTCGAACCACTGACTAGTCAGAAATTGAATACTACCACCTAATACGAATACTGAAAGCTTTTCTGAAACCAAGTGCACCATTCAAACTGGCTGCCTTCAACGTTCGCACATTAATGCAGATCGGACAACAGATAGGGCTGACTATGTCTTAAAAAAGTCTTAATATCGATGCTTGTTGTCTATCTGAGACCCGTATTCAAGACTCTGGTGAAGTACTACAAATTCGCTCTCCATCTGTCGCTCCAAAAAGCTTGTTTTGTGTGCGCTTATCAGGGGACCCTATAGCATCTTCGTCTGGTCTTGCTGGCGTTCGTGTTGCACTAAGCGCTAGAGCTGAGGCAGCAATAATCGACTGGATCCCCACTAACAGTCGATTAAGTGCTGTTAGATTAGAAAGTTCCATCAACATGAGAAACGATGTCTTTTCGTCATCTCCGCCTATGCCCCAACAGATTGCAGTCCGGATGCAATCAAGGATGAATTCTGCCACCAGTTAACTGTTCTTCTCCAGAAAGTGCGTTCGACAGATATTGTCAGTCAGTCAGTCAGTAACAACGTAGAACTTCGTACGTACGTACATCAGTTCGAGTTGCCACACCACATTAGCACAGAGATGCAGTGGTCGATTCAAATCCCGTAGTGCTAGATGTAGTAAAATTATAAGCTGTATTAAGAAAAGTTAGGGTTTGAAGATGTTATTCGAGGAGTATAATATAGTGAAATAAGTTTGGAAAGAGAAAAAAGAAAAGAACATGAAGAATTCAGAAGATTAGAATTTGGGATAACACAAAGAGTGGATGCACCTGCGCCATTGCAAACGATTTTGAGCCATGTCAATCAGGGTCTCTAACCATCGGTTGCTATCATCCGCGGTCCCCAACCAGGTAGTCTACACCTACCAACATGACTCAGACCACTTGTCAGTGACTTCATGGACTTGTACCATGTTTTGGTCTGGCCGCACCTACCTTTCGTCCAATCTACTCCTAAACCACTGAACATCGCAACACGTGTCCCAGCCATCTCAACTGATGAAGTTTCAATACGTCAACAACTGATTTGCCATCCTTACCTAGTACCCGTTTCCTAACAACTGTGTTACGTACTCGATGGTCCCAGGATATACGAGCAATATTTCGAACACACCTATGATCAAATACTACTAACCTACAAATATCCTCTACTCTTACCGGCCATGTTTCACTGGCATGAAGTAGGACGGAACGAACTGCTGCGCAGTAAACACGTCATTTGGTAGATAGACGGATATCTCGCCTACGCCATAAAAGACGCAAGTTGGCAAAAGCTAGTCGAGCCCACTGTATCCGTGCTGGGATTTCGTCACACACCAGACCACAAGGGCTGATGAGACTTCCAAGATAAGTGAAGCGGTCGACACGCTCAATTACTTCACTACCTATCATTAGTTCGGGTGTCGATGTAATCCAATCCTGAAGCAACATTTTTGCATTTCGAGAGGGTGAATCGCATCCCGAACATGCTTGCATTGTTGCTTAGAGTGGTCAGAAGACTCTGCATTTTGTCAGAGTCTTCACCAAATAAAACTATGTCATCAGTATATTCTAAGTCAACAAGTGAACCTCCCGGTAGAAGTTCAACCCCTGGAAATTTAGGTGAGGAAAGTGTTATCTCTAAAAGCACGTCAACGACGGAGTTAAACAAGAATGGAGAGAGTGGACAGCCCTGACGAACACCACTTGAGGTAATCAGTTCTGATGACAGTTCGCCATAAGCTCTCACTCGACCAGTTGTCTTCGAGTAGAGAGCCTTTACAAGGTTAATGTACTTCTTTGGTACTCCTTTCAGTGACAAACACTGCCATAGAACCTCACGATCAACAGAGTCGAATGCTGCCCTAAGGTCGAGAAATACGATTGTGGGGCGTTTGAATGTGTGTCTGTGTTCTAGGACCCGAAGTAGTGTGAATATCTGGTCTATACAACCACGTTCAGGTTGAAAACCGACCTGGTTTTCTCTAGTCTGTTCTTCACGAGCTTTGGTTAGGCGTCGAAGTATTATTGAAGCTAATATTTTGGACACTATATTAGTCAAACTGATTCCTCTGTGATTGTCACAAGAGTACTTTTGTCCTTTCTTATAGACTGGCACAATCAGTGATTGAGACAAGTCAGATGGGATTACGTCCAGTTCCCAAATTCTACCTAAGACCTCAGTCAATCTCGCTGCTAATACTGAACCACCATCCTTAAAAATCACAGGAGTAAACCTGTCAGGGCCTACTGCTCTCCCTCGTTTCAGATTTCCTATGGCTTTTTCAACTTCGTAAAGAGACGGAGGACTTACATCAACTGGCCATTCAGGTTGACTGGAGATCGTGGGAAACCGAAGTGTGGCTGAAGGCCAGTTGAACTGATCCCTGAAGTGTTCTGCTCATCGATCCGATCTCCTGGAGTCAGAATGTATAATATGTCTATCTTTCTCTGAGAGTGTTTCTCTAACAGTAGGGTCCCTAATACCGGTTTCCTTAACAAATCCGAACAATTATCTGCTACTACCCATTCCCGCTGCCTTTTCCATCTCTCTTGTTTTCGCTACCCACTACTGTTCATGGTCATTGCGTAGGCTTCTTGTCAGCTTGAGCCTAAGCTGGCTCCGCACTTCGTCATGTTCACAGCCAGATTAGATGAGTTTTCGAGTTTCTATCAGTGCGCTAGATGCCACTGAGATCCGATATTTCTCCCCAATCTTATGCTGTTTCCACAGCTTTTTGGATATCATTCCAAGCCGCCTCAGGGTAGGCACTACTTACATGGCTGCCTAACTGTTTTCCTAGTTGTTCCTGAAATATACTCTTAGCTTGACTATCATTAAGTAGGCTCCTAAGAGGTTTCCTTGCAGCGTCTTTCCTACGTCCAGTAAGGCGCAGGCAAATACGCGCTCGCACTAGAGCATGATCTGAATCTAAGCATGTACTCCAAAATGAGCGACAGTCTTCTATCGAGCCGCTCCATCCGTAGCTGATAGCGATGGGATCTATTTGGGTCCAACGTTGAAACGAATTAGGGGGTCGCCATGTTAAAAGATGTTTTTCCTTATGCTCAAAGTTAGTATTTGCAAGAAAGAGGCGGTTATCTGAGCATAGCTGCAACAGACGGTCGCCATTATATGTTCTTTGAGCCACTATGCTATAAGATCCACCCAGGTGTCTTTCCCCATCGCTTAGTTTACCTATTTGAAAATTAAAGTCACCAGCCACTATTACTACATCAGAGCGCCTAGCTTTTCGGAGGTCTGAGAGCTTTCTATAAAACTCATCTTTTACAGCATCTGAGCTGCAGTCAGTGGGAGAATAGGCAGAGACGACGAAGAGGCAACGACGAGTGTCCCTACCTTTCCGAGTCATTACTGTTCCGTTCAGTCGGACAGCGCACAGGTTATCTGAGGGAAACACCTTAATGCTGTCACACCACTCTACAAGTCAGCAGTACGACTCCACCCTCAGACCTTGAGTTGCTGCTTTTAATCTTACCGTTCTCCAATCGACCTACCTGGCATAGTAGAACCTACAGGAACATACGTTCCAGCCAATATAGCTCGGTTGGGTCATCACGATGAGCAAGCCCGACCACCGCATCAAGGTAGCAGCTTCGATCGGGCGACAGATATTGTAGTACTACCCGGAAACTTGAATGCTTAGGTCGGGCGTCTAGGCACAGAAGAGAATATTGTAGTTAGCCGATGGGGAATTGTTGGTCGCATGACAGATAACGGGGACCGTCTACTGCAACTGTGCACGGACAACAACCTGTTTTCTGTCTAACACTAACTTTCGGCACAGTCATCGCCGATATCCCACCTTGCATCCTCCCTCTGCGTCTCAAGCCTGGACTCATGTTGATCACATCGCGATCAGCTACCGCTGGCGTGGTTTTATACAAGACTTCCGCTCCTTTTGGGGTACTTATCTGGACTCTGATCATGCCCTGGTCTGCGCCAATCTTAACTTACTTTTCAGTGGCCAACGAATCGATCGCCCAATCTCACCATTCCTCTTCAATTTTGCCATCGGTGACACTCTGGAAACAACTCTGACGGATGTAAGTAATGGCGATGTGGATCTGTTACCTGGAGAAAGACTTCTCAACCTTGAGTATGCGGATGATATTGTCTTACTGTGCGATAATGCCCAAGGCATACAATACGCACTTAATCAGTTGGGAATCAGTGTTCGTAGATACGGTATGTGCTTCGCAGCTTCGAAGTGCAAAGTACTTCTACAAGACTGGCAGGACTGTAATCCTGCACTCGCCCTGGATGGTGAACAGATAGAAATAGTCGAGAAGTTCGTGTATCAAAGTAGCTGCATAAATGCTGGTGGTGGCGTGAGTGATGAGATCGATTCACGTATAGTGAAAGCCAGAGCGGCTCATGCCAATCCGGGCCACCTTTGGCGCCTTCATGATGTCAGTCTGTCTGTAAAAGGTCGGATCTACAAAGTCTCAGTGAGAGCGGTCTTGCTCTATGCTTGTGAAACCTGACCTCTCCGAGTTGACGATGTTAGACGACATTCTGTGTTTGATCACTGTTTTCTCCGAATGATTGCTGACATCCAATGGCAATACCATTTTAGTAATGCAGAGGTTCGGCATGGTGTGTTCGGGCACAGAGACGATAATGCTATCGGTGTCACCATCTTGAAACACCGACTTCGGCGGCTTGGATATGTTCTACGAATGTCATCCCACAGAATTCCACGTCGTGCATTACTTGCCAACGCTGGGACTGGTTGGAAAAAGTGGAGAAGTGGTCAGTGTATGACATGGTGTCTGGCTATGAAAGAAAGCTGCAAAGGGCTGGCTTCTGTTGGTTCATCACGACTCCCTGGCTGGGGTCCGAGAGATGGTGCGACACAGTGGCCAGAGACGTTATCAGATATGGCTCAGAATAGAAGCCAGTGGCGATCCTGTTGTAACCCTCTTTCACTTTCTTTATAAAAAGTGGTGTAACTTCCTTAACTGAAAGGATTCTACTGGTTGTACCTTTTCGTCCCTCCGATTATTATTATTATTAAACAACCACACACTAAGCTGTGGTCGTTATTGCTCTTTTTCTTATACGCTGCCCCTTGGCAATGTATGTTCAAGTGCAATTACCATAACTAAATTAATGTCACTGTATTACAACACTGAGTTTGCTAGCTTGAAAATATTTTACGAATATCACTACACAGGATTCCAAGGTGTGTATTATATGCCTGGAAAAGTGAGGGTAGACAGTTTTTAAACTGCTGCCGCGGTATGAAAGCTGCATATGACTGGCATTTTTCAAGCTATCATAAAGATGATAGAATTTATTGATTTGAGACGTTATCAGACACAGGCTAGGGAAGAAGCCACTGACGATTCTGTTGTATTTCTTATATTCCTCTGGAAAGTAAGAGGAACGCCTTTAATTGAAAGAACATTTAGTTGCAACTTTATTGAATTGTATTTCTTCTTTAGTCATCGTATTCCCCTTCTTTTCTTTAATTTTCTCGAGATGTCATCGCTTTATTTTTGTGACCTACATTTCTTTATAATTCATAGTTGTAAAGAAGAAAAATAGCATGATACATTTTATGTATTCAGAAAAGAAGCTATGAAAAGATGCAATTTTTCATGTAAATGATTATTCACTTACCATGCCTACATGGTAATACTCTCAATTTATCACCATCTTTATAATCTTCTAAGCAAATTGCACAAGTATCAAATTCAGTGGAGTCTGGAGAAAATTCATCATAATTAACGGGAAAATAATGAGGCAGTAAGTAGGGTAAAAAATCAAGTATGCAAGCAACAAAATAATTACTTTTACAACTGATGGTGAATAGTGAAATAAAAGTGAATGTACGCTCTAGATCGAAAAAATTCTAGTTTCACAATAGTCGTATTTATTCGGTCTTGGATAATTTAAATAAACGATTCGAATGAATATCAGTATGGTTATGTTAATCAGTAAAATTATTACAGTACACCGAAGTTAACAGTAGGATGGTTTCATTTTTTGCTTTCTAAATTCATGTATCTATGAATATGAATAAAAGTTCCCTTATCAACAGCGCCTCAAAATCACCATACAATGTTTGCTATGCTAAACTACTATCAAGTAAGCTACGTTACCTATTACACAACAAAAGCTTAACGATTTTATACATTTTTCACTAATCAAATATTATAACAGAAGCAAGGTTGAATATTTTATATTGATCAATTGCATAAAGAAAAACACTGCATCTGGTAGGATTATCCACACCATATAGTATGATACAAAATCTAGATATAGAAAACTAGCCTAAAATGTCAATGTTTAATTAGGCGACTTCCAGTTATTAACTTTTATGCTTTTAAAAAGGAAAATTGATAAGTATATAAAAACGGGTATAAAAAGTTTTACGGTGAATTAACATAAAAGTAAGGTTATATAGATCTGAACTAATTCCAAAATAAGTTGGTAGGTGTAAAGAACCCAAGTGACTGAATAATGGTTCTGAAAGGTGGAATACTAAAAGCATGATGAATTAATATTTCTCGAAAAACATATCTCCTGTAACACGATAAGAACTATCAATTGGCCTATTAGGCATAATAAAAACATACGGTTGAAGAGATTTTATGAAAACGTTAATGACGTTGTACTCCATTTTATAATTAGTGATTTCATAAACCTTCCAAAGTTTTGGAGGTTAACATTACTTAAATAAAGGTTGTACTTATTACTTGTGCATTAAAAAGTTGATTAAATATCTATTTATCAGTCCAGATAATTAGTAACCTCCATATTTTGAACTGAATAATTTACTTGAAAAAACTATCAAAAAATAAGTTTCGTTTAATAAAATTGCAGACTCTGAAAAGATTGAATATAAAACAAATTTCCGGTCAGTTATGCTCAAAACTAGGGGAATGACAATCTTGTTTTAATCTAGACGTCTATCCCACTGTCTAACCCTAATGCAACAAATATTCGCTTCTATTACTGTACGAAAAAACCCAAGATGTAGCCGACTTCTAACAGTATCACCAAATAACGTAGGTGGGTTGCTTTTCGTACATACAAACATCAACAAAATAACTTACCTTTAACAAATAAAGTTTCAGGTATTTTACGTAACTCTTTTACTGGTAAGCAATAACGATATCTTCTTCGGTATCGATTCAAAAGCCGAATCCCATATGCCACACTCAATGCGACTACAGATATCAGCAGACATGTTATGAGTGGAATAAGATACAACACGATACTTCGGCGATGAGCAGGTAGTATTTCAACAAAATAACTACAAATACATCAAAAAATCCGAACTGCATACTTATTGATTTATCCATAGATAGAACGGTGAGAGTAAAATGTAAACAAAATAAGTCATTATCCATTAGAATCTTGAAACATTTAGGAAAAGTAACATATAGATATATTGGGACGTAGCAGCTGAGTGTCAAGTGTCATACCATCAAACCAAAGTTCCTTATCAGAAGAAATTTAGGTTTATTTTTCGTATGGTGCTAGTATCTAATAAGATAGTTAGTGGTATTCGGTAATGAATCTCGCTAACTGCTACAAACACTGTGATAGGCCAATTAATGCTTCACAGACTACTCTATCTTGCTTGGTTCAGTTGCTTCCTGATACCCGAAGTAGATTTGACAGCTTCTTTCAGAAGAAACTATGGCTGAGTGTTTCACTAAGGAAATTGTCCAGCTCCCGTTATTTGGATCAACTGCTACAAGAAATGTTTTGCTGTGAAGAGACTCAAAAAGATCTAGCCAAATACGGCTACAGTGACTACAGTACTTATTAAAATAACAGTTGTGTCTTTCACGATACAGTATGAACAATGCACTTGGTCTTGTAAAAAAGCATTCGATCGACTTATAGCTTGACGTGGTGTATTTCAGGAAATGCTTTTTGAGTAAGTTGTATTTTTTGAACAGGATGGTTTAATCATTTTTTCGTTTTCAGTCAGTCAGTCAGTTAACATAAGACCGGATATATATGCACTGGTCCAAGTTGCCACACCTCTTTAGCACAACAAGATGAACACCACATTCATTATAGCAGTTACTTCAATGGTAGTAAAAAAGATTGCATATAAGGGTATAATACAGGGAAAAAGAATTAATTCGTAAAAAGGTATAAAGTAATTTTAATCTCACAGTTTAAGGGAAGACAAAGAGTGTATGCACCTACACGATTGTGATCGATTTTGATCCATGTTACCCACAGTTTCTAATCACTAGTTGCGATAGTCACGCGGACCCCAACCAAGTAGTTCGCATCCATCAGCATGACTTAGACTAGAAGTTAGTAACTAGTCAACATTGTGCACCGTGGTAATCGGTGGTTGCGCATGTGTTAGATCTGGCCCAACCATCTCAGTCGATGAAGACTTACAAACTCGAAAATGGGAGGACTTACAAACTCATCAACTGATTACCATCAATATCTAAAATATTGCATCTAACCTCTATTGCCAAGTGATCCCAGCAGACTTGAGGAATGTTTATAAGACTTCTGTGATCGAATACCAGTAACTTATGAATAAATAATAGTTCATCATATTTGTGTGTGGGCTGTGATATTGCCCGTGTGCCCAGACGGAAGCAGGTGGTTTTCTTAGAAGGCCACACTCCAAGCCTTCGACCTAAAGGTCTGACCCACAAGGCAGTGGAGCATCGTGAGGAGCTGCAGTCCCATGGTAGCCGGTGACCAACGATTGGTTCATACGCCATTTGTTCCCGCAGGATACTGTAGCCCATGTGCACCATTGGTTTGGGGTCCGGTTAAAGCGCCGGACACTCGCTTTTCGTCCTCTCATTTTCGTAAAGTGGTTGTGTCTTCCTTAACTGAAAGATTTCTTCTGATTGTACCTTTCCATTCCCTCATTATTACTACACTACCTTACACCAATCTCTTCGCTATTGTCTTTTTTTTACGCTCCTTAACTTTTTTTTCGAATTCTTATTGTTTTGTGTCGCACATATATATTGGCGCTCTCTTGTACCAATATGTATGTGTTCAAATAAAATAAAATAAAACTTATGAGTATCCTTCACCCTTAATGGCCGTTTCGAAGCCATAAACTAAAACAGAATAAACTGCTGTGCAGTATAACCGTCCTTTAATTGATAAACGGATATTTCGTTTTCACTACAGGTGACGTAAGTTGGGAAATGTCAAACTCAGACAATGAAAACGTTATTTCTACCAGTATGTCTATGATGAAGTCGAACGAAAATGGAGATAGTGGACAGCCTTAACGCACACCATTTGAGGTTGCAAAATCAGATGACACTTTGCCATAAGCTCTGACTCGACTGGTAGTACTTGAGTAAAGAGCCCTCAAGGTTTACGTACTACTGAGGTACACCTTTCAAAGACAGACACAGCCACAGAAGCTCTCGGTCTACAGAGTCTAACGCTGCTTTTAGGTCAAGAAAAACTATCATTGTCGGACGCCGATAAGCATTTCTGTGTTCTAAAATCTGACGATCAGGTCTGTGGTCAGTCTGATTTTCTCGTATTTACAGCTCACGAGCCATTGTTAGGCGTCCGATAATTATTGAGGCTAGTGTTTTAGACGCTATATTAGTCAAACTAATCCCTCTATGGTTATCACAGGATGATTTTGACCCCTACTTATATATTGGGACGATCAGTGATTGTGACCAGTCAAATGGGATTACGTCTAAATCCCGAATTCTAGCCAAAATATTAGTCAACCTAGTCGCTAAAATTAGACTACTATTCTTAAAGACATCTGAAGTTGATCATTTTGAACCAGATACCCCTCCTCGTTTCAGATTAGCTATAGCTTTTTGAATTTCAGTAAAAGTCGGAGGCAGGTTATTTGCAAATGCTGGGCAGCTGTGGAGTAGCTGAAGACCATCTGAACTGCTTTTTAAAGTGTTCCGCACATCGTTCTAAACATCTAAACTGGTAGCAGTCAAGAGTGTCTTCAGTTTTCGAGATTGTCTCACACATGACTTCTTGATTCCGGTTCCTTTTATTAGTCTGATAAGCTATCCTGTGTTACCTACACCCGCTACCGTTTCCATCATTTTTGGCGTAAATGTTGGGGCAGAAATTCACTGGTTTTTCGCGACCCTTTGGTTCAAATCACTAATAGAAGTCACCGCTGCCTCCGGATGTTCGTATATCTTTCTAAGCAACATCTGGGTCAGCTTCGTTTTCGAAATTGCCTAGGTGTGATTTCATTTGTTCATGGAATTTACCTTCAGCTTTCTCGTCGCTCAGCTCAACTCGAATGAGTATTTTTAATGTGACTTATCTCTGTCCAGTGAGGTGCAAGCAGATGCGTGCTCGTATTACAGCACGTTCAGAGTCTAAACATGTACTCCAAAACGAGCGATAGTCTTCTATCAACCTTCTCAAACGATCACTGATGGCAATATGGTCTATTTTATTCTATCGTTGGTTTGGTGAAAGGGGTCGCCATGTTAGACGATGTCTCTCATTATGCTTAAAATTAGTGCTTGTTAGAAATGAATGATTTTCTGAGCATAGTTGCAGCAGACGGTTACCATTATTTGTTTGGTGAACCGGAACAATAAAATATCCATTTAAATGACTTTGTGCTTGGTTTTAGCTATCAACTTGAGCATTAAAGTCACCTGCTACGGATACTAGGTCTGAGTGCTTGGCTTTTTGAAGAAGTTCAGAAAGCTTTCTGTATAAGTCATCTTTCACTTTATCTGGGCTGCAGTTAAGGGGAGAATAGGCAGAAATTATGAAAACGCAGCGACGTCTTTCCCTATCCTTTTGAGTTCTTACAGAGCCATTTATCCGAACAGCACATGGACGACTGTTGACGGAAATCCATTTCAATAGTATTGTTCTACCCTCGTCCTTAATGCTATGCCTACACCTGTCAGTTCACGAGAACTAGCCATCGGATCGCCAGATACACGGAGAATGCATCTCGTCGGTCCTCCGTTTGGGCGAGATGAGGTCAAGTGAATGACCACACTAGGATCTGGTATGCGTGTTTCGGAGACACAGTGCACATCAATCGAATGAGATTCTAGGGTCTTAGTGAAGGAGGCCTGCTGGTCGACTTGACATAGAGTTCGTACGTTGCAGGCTCCAAAGTGTAGTTTGGAGTGAGGTTTCAGTGGAATATGGACAGTATTTTGCGCACTAGAATAGTTGGTCATGGTGACACTTGAGGAAGATGTCTAGAGTTGATATTCAAGGTAGGAAAAATAACATGAACTGATCATGAATACAGTGGTCTTGAATGCTATTAGAGGTATGAGGGCGGATATAAATCCCTGACTGCCCATAATGTAGAAGGGTTCTTCTACAGGTACACGAAAGTGAAATTGGGTTAGAGTTATTCTTGGTGACCTGAGAGCGTGACCGCAGTGCCCAAGGGACAAATGCTAGAGGCCGGCTGCATACGATCATTTTGTGGGATATTTTCGTGTCAGTTCCGTACTTGTTGCGACCTTACGGCTGAACACGCATATCCGTGGGCTAATGCGGTGTGCATTTTTTGCTTCGACCTTTTTCAATCTCTCTTCCTTTGTGGGAAGGTAGCAGCTCTATTATGCTGGTTGTCTGAGAGAGACACCTCATGACCGTCACACCTTTGTACAGTTTAATGCTTCCCGTAAGAGTATTAACAGAGGAAGATTGATCATTTTCAGACCTCTAGTCTAACCTATAAATCTGATAAGCGTTAGTGAAGTAAGTAGTAAGTAATCTGATTTGATTAAACGAAAAAATTCCTTCAAACCAAAATTTCACAGTTACCAAATAGATATGTGAACGAGTACTAAATGGAAAGGCAAAGTAAACATCTTCAAACGGAAAAGCAAGTCGGAATGTATTAGTTTTATTCGCCTGGAAGTAAAGCATCTATAAAATAGATTCAAGAAATATGAAGCTTCGAATCCATAAATAATATACTGACGTACAACTTACTGTGGCACGCAGTACTTATTTAGTAGGAGCTCACCGTCAGACAAACCAACCATTACGACAGGAATACTGACATTTGTGGCTACCAACGAAAAGATAAGAGGTGAGAAACCTTACACGAATTATAGCCCATTGGGAAAGTACTGTCGTCCACATCATTGAAAATAACAGTTGCAATATATCCTCCTTTTTCGGCCGCTAAAGCCTTGTCTACAAAAGAGCAATCCCCACGTTTGATGAGTGAGATGTAAGGAAGAGTTGAATTGTGATCATCTTTAGGTCTAGGAATTTGGTCCACACAGCCGTCTAGTGGTTCGGATGCATAAATTCGTCCCTGGAGGTATAAAGAGAACTAGACCAAACAAACCAGTACTAAATGCCCCTGAGAAACTGCTCTACCAAAAAGTGCTTCCGAATCCTCAAACTCGTCAACAATTCCTGATGAGAGGTCTTTCTAAAACTACTAAATACAAAACACTGTGACATACCACCAACAAAACTGCCGAAACGTTTGCATCCAACAAAACGTACACAAGTAAAGAACAGATCAACGTTTTCATTACATTTGATGTTACTACAGAGAACTCCTCGACCAAATCAAATAGTAGCACATTAAAATGAGACAGTTGCGCATACTGTAAATCAACCGCTGATCATAGATTAAGGTTCCAATGTCTTACAGGTATTAGTTATCTTCATGACGAATTATTTCAAACTAGGATTTTTTGAATGTAATTAAACATTCTTGAATATTCGTTTGCTTTTTTCAAGATAATTTTACATGCGAAATAAAGATGTAAAAATGAGGCAGCATATAGAAATAATGAGCTTAAGCATTTTAGGATTATTAAAATTTGTCTTATATCCTCGAACGTGATGTAGCTATATTTATATTAGGCATGTTTTCAACGGTTGGAGAAATATTCCTGAACCCTACACATATTATTCGTCAGGCTAAACACAGCCATAAATTAGTAGGCTTATGACTGTTGAATAGTCCACCGAATCGCACAAGAGCCAAGGATGATTAACGAGAGCTGACACTAGATGATTAAGCTTAACGTAAGCAATTGTGTGGTCATACCCAGTTGAGGCTCACATGTCAATTTCGGTTGGACATAATTGTGTCAATTTCCATCGCCACAGGGAGTCGAAGTTTGATAATGCCTTTACACGTGACACCTGTATAATTGGAAGATACGGACTCAGTGAAAGCATAAGTCAGGAGTGAATAGGTTTGAAGACATGTTTGGAAAGCTATCAATTTATCGAAAAGCTTTTGGCCTAATCTGGTCACCAGTTGTTAGAGATGTGTGTCACGGCGTGTATATATATATGCAAGATTAGTTGTACAGTAATTGTATAGCAATTCTAGAGGTAATAAAGGATTCATGGAATTAAAAACCGATATGATGGGTTACGTATTAAGTGAATAGAATTTGAAGACTTCACATAATTTAAGAGAATCAATTGAGCGGAAATAAGTGAGTGAAAGGGTGGTTTAAGAATTCGCTATTTGGAATGAAATATAACACAAACTAAATATTAGCAAAATAAAACTAGTGTCCAAAATAAAAGAAAACAACAAACACATAAAGTAATTGGACTACCAGGGTAGTAATTAGTTTGTTATTGTCTCTTTTTGAATAAGCGATCGCTTCAACAAAACGGAAAGCGGCAGTCCTTATTTGTCTGCTAATAATTTTAAATGCATTAGAGATGTTACTGGTATGCCCGAGGTTAAGTTAAATGCTGATGAGGGCCCTAGTCCCTCGCAGCCACGATTTCCTTGAAACATGCTCTGAGATGCGAACATGTGCTCTTCTCTCAATTCTTCTAATGTATGTGCTTTGGCACATACATGTAAGTTGGTAAACGTAGTTGGAACTGTTGAGAGAAGAGGACTTGTCTATTTTAATTTGTTTGAGTGAGCAGTTCGTTTCGCATAACGTCGTCAGGTTCGCTGCTGGGTAGGTCACTTTTAATGCGGGATTTATTCTGTGATTGATTATTCCAGTAATTTCATCTGTTTTGAAGCGTAAGTATAAGAGTCAGGTTTTCTTTCCAACTCTGTCGTAATTTACTCGAGAGTTGGTATTTGCATGTTTATGGTTGAATTTAGCCGGATATGTAGTTTCACGTAGGCACTTTAAGATGAGAGAATTTTCTTCTTCCAGGCCTTCCTTTGAGAACATTTTACGTGTGTGGTCAAAAAGGGTTCGCAGAATATACTTTCTGTAACTCATTGTACAGACGTTGTAGTAATTAGGACAAACTCCACTCAGGTATTTTTCAGATGAATGTGTCTTTGTAATGTGCCAACTGATTTTCGTCTGATTCCAATATCTAGGAAATGGGATTTACCTTCAACTTCATATTCCATAGCGAATTCTATATCCTTGTATGCTTTGTTAAACAGGCTGAGTAGGTTCATGGAGTGTTTGTGATTGTTGAAGACGAGAAATGTGTCATCAATGTACATACAGTATAGTGCCGTACCATCGACTGTGTGATTAAGCTTCTTCTGCTCCAGGTTTCCCATGTATATGTTAGGTCAGAATTGAGCCCAAAGGGTTACTCATGGCTACTCCATCAATCTTACCGTACAACACATTGTCGGATTTAAACTGTTTGTTTTTTGTACACACAAACGGGAGCTGTTTAAATTCATGGATTCGTGATGGCAAAAGTTCTTCTCTAGAAGACAACGTAAAATGATCGAGTAATATTGTGGGCTGAAAGAAGCTGGATATTAACACTGTTGGATGCCACCTCAGTGGTCTAAATAACAGAGGCACTAAGTTCGAGTCCTACGTGTGTGGTCGTAATGACTTGCTGTCACGAAGTCCACATCAAGACAAAAAACCTGTCTAGGTTGGGTATTTTGAATTATTTGAATTGCAGTATGAACTAAGAATCCCCGAAATAAAGCAACTGAATCAAGAAGTATTAGATAAGCACAAACGAATGTATTGTATTTAGAATTCGAAATTGATAATTCAACAAGTACAATGGTATCATTAGTTCATTCAAACACCACATCCACCACAGCTTACATAGGAGTATAAGTATCTGTAATCGATTGTACGTCTTCTTCTTAAGTTTGTAGCGGTAAATAAATCCCCAAACTAAATAGCTTTGTAGGTTTTCGACATTGGATGCTGACCATATGTTTTAGTGGACTCATCTAGCTGAAGGCGCTCGGTCATGCATCCGCTCCAGATCACGTGCTGTAACGCTGTGCTCAACATCAACCGCAATCACTAGCCAGATTAGATCAGAGATTCCCGATATATTGGTTATCGCCAAATACACTCTTCCGATCTCCTCGACTCTGTCTTTTGATTTCTCTCGGTGGGAACAAAGCATATTAGGTGTTACTGGTAGAAGCGTTGTCAAACACTGAATACCTGTATCATCTTCAAGTTTATCCTGTGTCTGTCCGACTTTGTATTGGATAAAAACTATGTATTATCTAGAATGTGCTCATTATTATTGGAATTAACAACCAAAGTCGGAACAGACTCACCTGGAATTGTATGCAATCAGCATGTCGGTTTTTTACTGAAATCATTAATATCTAGAATTTGAACCATAGATTTTTCAACACTATCCTCTACCACGAAATAATGTTGGATCTTTATATCCGCAAGTTATGAATAATGTGGCTTCATTTAAAACATATTTCTCACATTGATTAGAGTATACATTGGAACTGAATTTGTGATAAGGATGAACAGCAGTTGATTTGAAACCATCCGAATTGTAATCAAAATCTAGCTTGTGGTGGTTCCCAAACAAAAGGAGCTTATACAAAATATATTGGTACACTAGGTTAATGATGATATACCAAAAAAAAACTAATAGTAAAGAAACCTAGATGTCTGTCCGTTAGTAAAACCAAAAGGTAATAAAATATTGTTAGCAATACAAAAGGTATATTAAACAAACAGACACTAACAGTTACTATAGAATGAATGTTACTTGTGAACTTCCTCGTGAGAACAACGACCACAAACCGAGTTCACTTGATGGACAGGTGTTCTTCTGCAAGCGACCGCACCAATGACGTAATGAGGAAGACGTAGTCCAATAGTATTATACAATAGTAATCCGCGCCAAAAATCCAACGTTGCGTCGGAAGGCCTATAATGATGTTATAAATACTATTATAGTCTTCAATCAAACGGTGGCCAATAAAACAGAAGAACAAGCGGCGTAGATAGTGCTCTATATTTTAAACCACGCGGTAGTAGAATCGTATATCATTCATCGAAACAATTATCATCGTCTTTTTTAACAAGTGATACAGCAAAACAACAGATATTGAGTAAAAATGTGGTTACAAACAAAGTGTGACAAATTAGAGAAAAAATGTGGTTTTTATTTTTGTTGTTACAAAAATCACTGAATATATGTCACCATAAGCTCATTTAATACTCGTGGTTCGCACTAAACAAGTTTTCCACAAGAAACAAATGCATTATGATGACAAATAGTATTTGACATGACATCAAGATTTGATTCTTCTGAAATATTTTCCTCGAATTTTTAAGAATCTCGTTGCAGAGTAAAGGATCATTAGAAAAATTGACACCCATCAAAACTACATCAGGTTTTCGATCATAATTATGTTCACTTAATATATTTTTTTCAGATTTGCAAGGAATTTCATCAGAAATATGTGAATCATTAGGAAAAGTCATATTTGGTACAATAACATGAGAATTCCGACAAATTGATTGATTATAAACCTTTGTCTCGCAAGGATTCTGAGTTTCATTTAACTCCGAACTGCTATATGACTCTTCGCTTTCTGTTGCAATCGTTGATAAAGATAAATGATCACTATGAATACTCGACTCAGTAGAATCAGAATTACGAGATTTAATATTAGTTGCAGTAAGATGAACATTAGTATTACAAACTTACTGAACATGTCCAACATCACCACATTTAAAGCACTTAGAATTACGAAATTTACACGAATTAAAAGCGTGGAACTTGCAACAGGAAAGACATAGACCAAACTTGTGCCCATCTTCGTGAAATGCATTGCAACTCCCCAATGAATTACCTGCATAGCTTTGAGTATTCACTGGGTCGAGATGACGTAGTAATGTAGTGGAATTCTTTATATCCTCATGGATCACTTTACAAAATCCTCCATTATTGTGTTCGAAATTTGTATACTTAACATAGTCCAGTAGTAGTCCCTTGAGAGTTGCATTAGGAAGCGAAATAGGCTTTTCCTGCATAGCCAGAGTAATTAATAAGCTATATGCTTCTTTTCCGATGAATGCGAGGAAATGTGCCACAATATTAACATCCTCATTATCTTACTTGGTCATAGCCCAGATTTTTAACCTTTCAAAAGAATCCTCAAAAGCACCAAAATTTGAATGTGTATCCAACGATTTCATCACAGGATGCTTCTCCTGACGCCAATTTGGTATTTTGAATTATTTGAATTGCAGTATGAACTAAGAATCCCCGAAATAAAGCAACTGAATCAAGAAGTATTAGATAAGCACAAACGAATGTATTGTATTTAAAATTC